AGCGTAATAACCTTAGGTCGCTTTGGTTGACGTGATAACTTGCAAGTTCAAACTGTTGACGTTTTAGAGTAGAATTGATTAGCCATTATTAACACATAAACGTCTTGTTCAGGGGTGTTTATATTACTGGGACTTTTATTTTAACAGAAGTGACGATTTTATGATAGGAAGGAATGAATGACTTGGACTCCATTGTAGGCCGCTATTCGTAAACCTGTTTTGAAGGTGTGAAGGTATAAAAAAGTAAGAGTGATTTTCCATTATATTCTAAATTAGAGTACACTAAGTCTTAGCCTTACAACTGTAGTCCAAACTAAGAGTGAAAAATGTTGAAATTTCAGCTGTTCACTACATTTGTGAATTTCCAACACAGGACATTTTCAAAGTGATTTGTGATTGGAATTTAGTTTACATTCAATGTACTCTTTACAATGTCATGATAAAAATGATTCCCTGGCTTACATGAAAGAACAAGACACAGGTTGTCATTTCTAACTTCCAGTCATGAATGATGATCTCTACATTGTGCACTTTTGGTCAGCAGTCTGCCTTCAAGAATTTTCCAGTTGATAAAAAAGTGAACTTAAATAAGAGCATATGTTCTTTGGATCTCAGATATGCATAGTAATTTCTAAGTATTATATCATTCAAGCGTTCACTGAACTAGCCTTTCCTGCTTTAATTGAAAAAGGTGGTAATCAGCAGTTATATGTCGAAAAAAGTACTAATTCAAAAATGCTCTACAGTTCAGTGGATAAAATGAGTTGAAAGGGATATGTGATATTTGTCTACATTACTTATGCTTTCAGCTTGCAACTGTGTATTTTCAGTGAGATTTCTGATGTTGTAGTAATACTGGTCCATCCCTTCGGAGTATTACTAAAGTTTGTATCGAACTGTCTTTATGTTTTAACTGGATTTTATTGTGTACCAAATTTGACTGTGAATTAGTACCTACCAAACAATGAATGCAGATTTTTGTCGATGTATATGTTTGTAAAAATGGGCAAGTCAAGCAGCATTGAAGGACACTATTCAAACAATTAAGTGTACACAGAACGCGTGCATACTAAACCGAAAAATATTTTACTGTTGAACCTCGAATTCAAGGGAGGTATTGTATATTTTCGAATTTATCAGTGGATGAAACGACCAACATCATCTACCAGCAGTCTGATCTACTCCCACTGACGAAAACAGAAGTGAAGCAATTAATGCGTCTCTGTACAAAAAGTGTTCACTTCCAATTTAACAATCAAGTTTTCTGGTAAACTGATGGAATGGCTATCGGTTCACCACCTGGACCTATCCTATCTGATATATTTATGGCTCATCTCGAACGAATATATCTGAAGTCTGTGACCAACGAAATGAGATATTGGAGGTATGTCGATAATACTTTCATTATTTGTGATAATACGAATCATGCGTCAAAGTTGTTCGATGCCTTTAACCAAATATGAATTTTACATGGGAATTCGAAATTGAGGTCAAATTCAGTTTTTGGGATATGAATATAAGATGGAGATGGTTGGTACAGTTGAGAAAACTGTTCACAGGAAAGACACGTGAAATGGTCAGTACCATCACTACAAAAGTTACTGTTCTGTCAGTTATAAGCGTGGTTTAGTCATGATGCTCTTCGCTAAAATAAGAACGTTATGATCAAAAGCTAAACAACAGAAGTAATTCGGCATAATTGAAAAGGCTGTTATAAAAAATGGATATGCGAAGAAATTCATCATAAAACATGGAGAAGAGTTTATTGAGAGACCCAAACATCCAGCTGTTGAGAAGAAGTCTTTTTTCCATCATCCAGTATTCAGAATAAATGGTCCACTAAGAAGTAGCTTCCCTGCTGCCATACTAATCTCAGTTTATAAAACAGTACGCTTAATAGCACAGTCGAAAGTAGAAAAATACTAATCTCACGTCACTGTCAACTTCATATATCAACTCACCTGTACTCGTGGAAGCAAGTACATAAGAAGGCCTAAAAGAAGGGCGTCTACTCGTTTTTGTAAGGCTATTCCGAAATGCCTGTGTCTGAAAAGTTTCAAGGTCTTTACCAGCATAATCACCAGGCACCTTATGGAAATAGGACATCAAATAGATGTTTCTCAATCCTTTATAACAATCAGCAAACAGAGAACACCTTGTTCATTACGATTTGTGGGAGCTGTCATCATCAAACATTTTCAACCTTATCTATGTAACTCAGAGACTGTAATGAGCCTTTTTCTAACCTGATAACTGTATAATTTTTTTGCATGTGTATGTATATAGTCTTCCTTTTTCTTTTGAATGCAGCATCTCTTCATCAATTACTTAATAAATGTTAATCACCTAACGATTTCCTAGTTTTTCATGTAATTACGTAACCTATCCGATCTTAAACAATCTCCTTTTTACACTGATTTCCGTTTGTTGTCTCCCAGAGTTTTCCGTCTCATCAGATATAAATTGCCATAGATTTTGACTAACATTTGTGATGATGAATTCTGTATTTACTTGGCTCACTCACTACCCTATTAGTAATCCTGGATTTCAAATCCACTTATTTCTACATATTTAAAGCACATTATGGGACTATTACTACTTGTTCTTTATTTCAATTGTAGGCTGTTTGCAGCTGATGAAAGGCCGCGAAATAATTTGAATTCATTTTATTTTTCAAGGGGCCTAAATTAGGCAATAAGTTTATAAGAAACCATTGGACAGTCGAATGGAACTTTTCATCCGGCTGCAGGCCATATGATTTTTTTTTATCGGTAATTAAGTATTAGTGACCATGAGATTTTCAAGACCTTGTGAAACAAATGCTATTCAGTATTTTAATCAGAGAATTGAAGGGTGATCTATCCCAGTTGCACCAGCTCATTTTAGACCGTTGATGTCGCGTAAAATGTATTCTAAAAGTAGTAAACAGTATATTTTTTTCAATTTTCTCGATAATAAAATCATTTTGAAATGGTTATCGAATGGTATCATGGAATCTGTCAGCATGTTACATTATTTTTACACACAACGCTTATTTGATGAATGTCAAACAGGTATGGTGTACAGTCAATAATTTAAACGAAATTCACTTATCAAGAAATTGGAGCGTGTCTTGTATCACAGCCTACAACTTTGAGATAGTAATAAGTAACGCAAAATGTGATATTTTTAAGCCTATACATGATCAAATACAGGTAGATACTACTAATTCCTGGCACATACTAATAGCGTTCTTTTAAGTTGATTTATATTTACGCTTAACCCTCTTCCAATCTAATCCAGCTTTCTTCAGTATGGCACGACAAAGTAGGCGATGGGTTGATATGCGCATTACATGTCTAAGCCATCTCACTCGACTAAGGTTCACAACCATATCAATCAACATCCCTGTCTTGCCTAGTACCTACCATACACCTGACCTGAACATTCTTCACACGGTGATTTCACCAAACACGAGCAATGCTGCGATGACACCTATGGTCAAAACATTGTCATCGTTTCATGTCTTCTGCTCTTAACGGACAGTTACCACAGTCGTTAAAACAGGACAGAATAAACTGCAGCATAGTATAATTGTCCCTTTGATAGACAGCTGAAAATCTTGACATTCGGCACCACAGGTGACGCGAGTTGGCAAATGCCCAATCGGCCTGTGGTATCCGAACTGAGATTTCATCACCAACCATCCAGTTGGGACCGATGCAACTCCACAAGTCAGTGAAGTGGTGCACGGATTTTATTAATTCACTGCCTGTCAGTTAACTGGGAGTAGTTTCAGACCAGTCCTGGAGCATCATCCTACATTTGACAAGTGCGAAACGCTTGTCAAACATACTCATATTTCTGCTCAATGCATTCAGAAGACTTTGGATTTGGTCTTTGGCCTCCACCTCACAGAAGGATATCGTCTACATAATACAAGTCAACCAGATGACCTCCATTGAGTAGGTCAATCCCTATGGAATTGCACATAATAACGGTTATGTCCATTAGTATATCTATAACGGCGTTAAGTAGAAACGGTGACAGTTGGCATCGCCGGCGGACACCCCTGGTTTTTCTCAACTCAAATGATAACCTTAATATGCTCATTCACGGTTGTGTGAGTTCGAGTGGTGAGCTGTAATAAGTATTTTATGTTTGCTATTTAGTACCGAGTGACGACTAGCTTTCAGACCTGTTCTCTTTGCTGACCTTGTTCACTCAACTCAATTTCATCTTGAACCTTCACATACGTTCACGATATGCAAACTGGGTGATAAATCATAATTACTTTGAGTACTTAACAAACATATTTTGTCTTTCACATTGTAAAAAGAATTATGAATATAGATTACAGAATTTTTTTTCGAGGGTTCTAAACTCTGAAAAACACTGATTTTTTAATGTAGATTACAAAAACGTTCACAGTTTTAACTTTTTTAATTACTATTCTAAAGTAAGTTGTATTTGAGTTGTTATTTAGTGCATAAACAGGACAGAAAGATTCTTTCATCATCATTATTTTGGCGGTCTTTTTTATATCGGTTATCATTTGAAAATTATGTATAACCGGTGCATTTAAAAAATAGTATGAGTAGTAAATATAAATTGTACAATCTAACTGTGTGCATTGGTACCTTGTTTGTGTGTAATTATTCATCAGCTATCACATTTAACTACTACTCTGGAAGCATTGCACAACCATTAACTGTTTTCAGTACAAATATAAAACAATTACTTTTGAAGTGACAGTAGATCAATGTTCCAATGTTCATTATAACCAATGTTTTTATTCATTTATTTACAGTGTGCATGTAGTTTTACATAAATTTTTGCATGATACACATTGAAGATACGATCAGTTTTATTGAATGATTTTGATATTTCATTTATAGTAACCATGATACCCGTTTGTGTTTGTTTCTTCATGTTTATCCCATGCTCACTTGTTTGAGAAGTGTAACAAAACTTGGAAATGAGTGCGCTAGATATATTTCATGCGTGAAAACAACTTTTCTTCAAGCATCCTCCGTTAAGTTATCATTCTAAAAATAAACGTTTAAAAAGTAAGGTTTTATAAATAAACTTTTAGGTGTAAAGATACTTATATGTACAAACATGTGGAGATATTAGATGATTAGTTGTACCACCCCGATAGTATTCAACAATTTACTTAGTCCTTCAGGCGTTTTAGCTTCTTATCAAAATATGGAGTGGTGTTGGGGGTTTGAGCACAAAAAGCAGACCATTAAATAAGGATAACCGAGAGGGACTTTGCAAATCGTTACTTCGAAACGTTATTTTTTACCCTGAGAACCCTCTAGTTAATAACTAACCTCCCACAGGACTGGATCAGACGTGCTGATTACCTTTGATAGCTCAGCAGGAACCTGGATGTTGAATTTCAGAGGGGTTATCACTTCCCTTGAGGTGGCAATTAGGCCCTTCTGAAGAGTACCAACAAGCTCATAACCTAGGTTCCTTGGCTTCCACCCTATCGCCTCAAGCCAACTAAAATCTACCGAACTGGATTGTGACGGTGAGCCTACTGGCTTACTGGCTACACTGCAAAATGATTGATGAAATCCGACCAGCACTCAGGACTATATAATACGAACTTGTCACCCTTATGTGACTACTCAGTGTAGTGAATCTGCATAGTAAAGATTTGCTAGGTTTCACAGATGCACAATGTGATGCACCATTGTGACTCCATACATTGGCACCCAGATTACGCGTGACTACATTGCATATCTGTGTATCGCTGCTAAAATATGTGGAGTAATACTCGTAATCACCTACTTCGCTCCTCAAGATTAAGGTAGTTTAACACATATGGAAGTGTTGTAAAGCTACCTTAAAGTCAATTGTATCAAAATGAACTATCTTTTGTGCATTACTTTATCTATCGTAATACATCGGTATTCAGCAATTACTGGTACCAAATAAATTTAACAAAATTAAGCTATTGTATAGGAACGGGGTTCTTGATAATCTTAGGGGAAATTAGTACAAAACCATACAAATCCAGCTGTAGTAATGTTGGTGTTTATTTGAGTCATAGGTCATCTTCAAGCCCTACTGAAAAATCGTTTGGATGATGAACTCCATCAAAAACATCTAAACAACTGGTATGTTTCAATTTGTTTGGTTGTGATTAGCAGCAGAATCCAGTACAAGTGTTTCGTTTTATTCGGGAGTCATCAGCTGTATGTACTTGCACCATAGTGAGTGACGCTGTTCCTACTGAAACTGGAATCTAGCACCCATCTCTTCGGATGCCAAACTATAGTCAGCCAGGCCACTAGGGCACGATTTAAAGTTGACGAATAATCAGCTGTTATGGAGACATCCATATAGAAACCCGTATACCAACAGAGGTCGATCAATTTGATGTAGCATAGCAATGGAAAATTGCAAGTATCAATAAATAATTCGTATATTAATTTCGAGGAAAAAAAGTTTCAGTTGACAAACTTTCCATAAAGCTTGTATATGCTGTACTAAGTAATGGAATTGGTGTTATGCATTTACCAATATGACAAATCTTAGTTGCTGTAATTAGACCAGTGATTAAATGGTTGTTTTTAACATTGGTTATTTTTTCTAGATAGTGGAAAAAAGCTTAAATGATGACAGCTTAGTAAGGAAATGCTCAACTTTTGTTCTTCACTGAAATTCTTAGCTAGATTTTACAGTTAAAAAATTGTATATAAAATTATCATGCCTAAAGATACTTTAGATGATTTATAAGACATGAAAACTTGAGCAAGCCAATGATGTTATCCATATTGAGTGTAAGGATATTAATTAAAACGATATCCAATATCTGATAAAATATACAGATTCTCTGAAGAAACGATTTCCACAAAGTCGCAAAACGTCCGAAATTTATTTTTCGACCTCACTGACGAATATATTTCATTGAATATCCAGTCAGTCTTATATAATGGCTGAATCACTACCAAGTGATGATATATGTGGACATAGAGTTGTGGATCATGATAGCACTGTACCAAGAATTGACAAAATAGTTAAAATGTGAACCACTGGATCATATTCAGAGAGACTGAATCATCAAGTGCTAACTTGTTCACCTGTGAATTATCTTCTAAATTCTGCATGTAGCCGTTAGTGCACGCTAATGATAAACCTTGCAGTAGGGTACCACAGATATCTGGCATCTTTTACTATTGAGTAGATCTCTGTCTAGGCTTGAGTAACAAGATGTAGATCCACATTTTAGAAGGAAATACAAGATAATATTAGAAGTTCAGTAAATGATATAAGTAGGAAAAGAAGGAATATATACATTTTGAAGGTGTAAGAAAACATTGAATCTAATGAAAGGATAAGTTCAGAATCGCATGAAAAGTTATTTTAGCTAGAATAATTAGTGAATGAGATAAGTAAACGTAGCAATCAGCACAACAACAATGTGAATCACAAAAGTATAGGAATTATCAGTAAATTCAGGTCTTGCGACATGAAAAAAAGAAAGGGATTTTCGGCATAATGTTAAGTATCACCATAAAATTTAGAGATTGATGAAAGCTTCTATTTAGGGATATAGTCTTATGGAAATCAGTCATCAGATAGTTAGTGACTTTACTGTCAACAGTTATGATTCAGTTCTGTTTGTTGGTCATTATATTATACAACGATGCACCAACTTTGGTGTTAGATATTAGTAGTCAGTGGAAGCAACACCATCAGTGTGAAGTCAACATTTGGGCACAGTTCACGACAGTCTGGTGGCATTTAGTCTAAGAATCACACCACAAACCTGATTGACAGAATTCAGCCACTTCTGAACACTTGAGATTTTCCAGTTACATCGATTACTATCAGATGGCTAATTTGTTCACCTAACTGATTCATGACTTGAGTAAGCTGATGGGAAATCGTCTGAATTTGGATCACTCAAAGAACACCAACTTCCATATGATTGCAAATACGCTTTACTCACGAGTGCAAACATGACACTGAGGTACTGTTGGATTTTCTCCAGACTGATTCCTTAGATCTAACTCCAAGCATTTAACTTCGTCTGAATTTACTGCCGACAGTAGCTTTAGGAAGTGTGGTTATTACTCTTTAAATGTTTGATACTATGAAGGGTAAACGTAAATCGACCTAAATCTTTTGCTAATTATATGACTAGCTTCTGTATTACCTAATGAGAACTGGTTACCTGAAATGTTAGTCTGACGTAGAAAATCACTTCTTCGTTCTTATATGTCTTTTCCTTTCAAAGATACGTCGAGAATGGGGATGTATATAAGTTTAAACGAGGTGATATAAAACGGAGTCATATCATAAAGCAACGTTTGTAACCATATGAGTTCTAAACACTTCTGTCCTAATTCATTTGGTATTTGTCTATTTAATCTCTGCCTTCAAAGCCCACTATAAAAAGGAATAAGTTTTTTCTCTAAATAAGTGTTCTTTCTAAACGTGCTTCTGAGTAAATATAGAGGGGTAGATACAGATTAATGAGTTGTCACCTGACAGTCAGCCTAATTCAAATTCATGTTTCCCACTGGATGACAGCCTAACTGTTCCCTAAACAACTTTTTTCTATACAAAATCCCTTATCCACGCCCAGAAATAATAATAGTTTAGATATTTAACATCTAGCATAATTTAGCTGTAAGTGGTTAACTCAGTGATGTTGTCTTCTTTACTTCTTAAGTAAGGATACCCAAAGTTCACTCAAACTCGTTCAGGTTGTACAAAAGTTATTAGGAATGAGTGGTAAGTAATCAATGCACCTCGTACCCCAAACATTTATTCTTTCACTACATTGTACTCCTTTAAAAATTTTCAACATATTCCACTGTTACCTTAGCAAAATCTGCTATTACCTATTGCTTTTCGTTACTTAGTTGGAGTTAGTAGTGTCAATGTTCGGTTTTCTAGTTTTTGTGCAGGTTATAGAGCTTACTAAATACACTGGTTGTAAAGATGTTGGTAAGTGACTGAAATGATTTGAATGAATGCCATATGTTATGATGTAGAAGAAGACTTTAACAAATAGCTTGGAGATATTTCCTGTTTCTCATCAATATTTTCATCAAATGAAGATTAAACAATTCGGTTTTCATTCTAATCGCATAGAGTATCATCTTACTACAGTAATGAGTTCTTAGTTCATTTTTTACTGCCAAAAGTAAAGCTACAAGATAAAACAAGGGTTACGTATTTCGGGAATCTAGATTTATATCCTGTAAGACGAAGTTACATTACTGGCTCTGGTTGAGATGAGTTACTTGTACGCAGTTTGTAGGAAACCTATGGGTGCTACGTTCATTATTCCATTACATATCTTTTACATGTGAAGCACTTAGCCTAACAAGATCATAGGTAAGGTCAGGAATTCCACTGTATCCTTCCTCTCTTCATCTTTCACCACACCCTTTTTTTGAGTTTCCTTTCAGTAGATTGCTTTCTAAAACGTTTCTTTTAAATATTTCTCTGATTTGCCTCATTTTTTTGCAACGGTTATTACTTTAGAGCAGCGCCAATGATTGGTAATTGTTTATAATTATTATGTCCCAATATGAAGCTAGTGAAAAGCTTCTGAAAGTAAGTTAGTCCGTTTGTTATGTCAATTTGGATTCACTTTACAAAAAGCACTCCATGCATACTCACAGTTGACGCTGAAACTGAGGATAATTCGCTCAGCTGTCTAAATGTAGTCACAAAATTCAGGAAAAATGTATAAAGTACACGGACTGTTCGCCCTTTTCTGCACAACTATAAATTTAAAAAACTTAATAGCAAGGGATTTATATTATTTTGTAGAAATTATAGTATATAAACCATCTATTGAACAGGTGAACTAACTTGCTAACTGGTCATATCTTTCTTAGTATAAGTTGATTAGCATGAGGATTACTATTAAGTAAAACTAAACATGTAGAGTTCAGTTGACCATATTCATATAACACATTCAGGCAACGTTATTCCTAAAGGGGCATACCTTATACTTCTCATCCTTCTACGCGTTGTTATTGCTGTTGACCACTGACTGTTGTAGCACGTGTGATGGTGTTTGCTCTTGTTGTACACCCTTTGTACAAACTGTTAAATCTAACGGATTCGTTGCATAGTTTGAATTATGATAATCCACACCAAAATAAACTGTGTCAGTTAAATTGGCCAACTTGTTATACTCCTTTAAAGAAATTTCTGATTGATTATTTACAGAGTGTTTATTTTTGAGATTGGAGTCATTATCGTTATTACTATCACCAAATTCTCGGTACTGTTCTTGTTCACAGTGTCGCTGTTTCTGTGCATATGAATGATGATACTGAGGTACAGTCGAATCATGACAATCATTTAAGTGTTCTGAACAGTACAATATCGAATGGTTATGATTATTTATTAAAGTTGTTGGATAAGTTGTTGTAATGAATTCATGAATATTACCATTATTATTGTTATTGTTAGTAACAGAATTAGTACTAATCGAGGTATTTGTTGGTTCCAATATAAATGTTGTTGTCCTATTCATAATTGGAAATTCTTCATCTTTGAGAAAAGAAGTTGAATTCAGTGGTGTGAATGTAGTTGTTGGTAGTGTAGTGTAATGTTTAAATGTATAGTAATTGTGTGAATTTTGGATATTTTTACTATCATTGAATATAATCTCACTCAAACATGAACAGTGAGTTGGTGTAGCCACAGTAGATGATGAAGACATTTGTTGTTGGTGCTGTTGTTGGCATAGATGTGTGTAATGATGTTGATGACATTGAGATAAGTCATTAGGCGATTTTTGCAAGAGTAGAGGATTAGCATAGGAATGCTCGTTTAACCAATATTTACAGCAATCTTTAATATCTACAGCATATGCTTGATGAATAGTATTACTATTGTCATTAGTGTGAATACCATTATCAGCTTTTAAGAGACTCTTCAGTGTATCATTTTCTGATTGTTGATGTGGTTTTTGATATTGTTGATGAAGTAAATGTTGAGATGTTACTGACTGTGAAATCGGATTATCATAACTTTTTGTTAAATGAGAATTTATCTCAGAATGCTGAGAACAGTGATAATGTTTAGAATGTTTCATTTTTGACTTGTTTCGTATCACTGAAGTTCTTGTTTGATTTAAACGCTGACGATATTTTCTAGCCAACAGCATACCCATTACACCCATTAAACAAGTTAATACACCAACTAAACCCATCATTAATACAATATGCAGTGTGTTTGAACAGAACAGTTCTCCGCAGACTTTTGATGTTGCTAAAAAAATATAGAGAAAATTTCAATTTCAAAAATAAAGCAAGACGCAAAAATGTTTTTTTGTTGACTTCAAGTTTATTACATATTATAATTTCTTAAAACTTGAGTCGGCTTTCACTCATTTTAGTAAACCCTTCCAAGGCTGTCTTCATGAGAGAAGAATTAGATATAGAAAATATAAAAGGGAAGGACACTGGATATTTGTTTCATCCTGGTCACAGACTCTTTAGTAGTACTCGTCCACCATCCGACTATGGACCAAGCCTACGGTGTTACACGGAACCTAACTGATTCAAGTTCCACCGTGACTAAGTTACCAAATCATAGCCAACTCAGACAGACTACTGCTCTGTGAGATTATTCGAAAATGAGTAAATATTGAGCTAAATGCATACAATACTTTATAAACTAAGCATACTTTTCTAACAAAGGTGTTCCAACTAACAGGAAGTGTAATTACTAATTATCCTTCATATTTATTTCAACTGTGGGCTTTGTAAACTTCTGAAGTTTTTCTGATCATCTGAACAGAAACTAGTTGGATTTCGTGAGCGATTTTTTTGGATTGCCATTTCATCACGTGTTTCTTTGAGGTGGTTTAGACTTCTAATGATTATGTGGTCAGTAAAAATTAATATCATTTGCCTTAATAAACATCTCTCAACCTTTACACCTAAATTCAGATGAATGTAGCAGTTGAGCTATTCATGTAGCATCACCAATAATAATGCGCAAAGTACTTTAAATGGCTATCATGTAAATACTTGAAGCTTATTGATAAGGTAAAACTATTCATTTTAATTAAGATTCAACTTCCCAGCCAAAAGCTTTTATATTTGTGTAAACTGGAAGTGAAAGACTATAAATAAATCAAGCAATGTAGTGTTATATAACACCATTATTGTCGTTTGCTCTAAAGACGTCTGACTTGTTTTGTAATTCTCCGTTTTAACACTCTATATTCGTTACAGCAACTAGTTTACAACCATTATTAGGTAAGTGAGTATTTAAGTAAAGCTTTGTAACAAAATGTTATCTCAAACTTGACACTAACCTTGTTTTTTCACCGGCAAGTGGCTACTAGGTACACTTTCTATTAAATACAATGGCACTGAACGTTGTATAATCCGTAGACTAGGCGGTAAAAATGTTATTCGGGGTTGTTCAAACTTGACATTGTCGAATCACACACAGACGGCTGTAGAGATAAACAATAAAAGTCGTTATGATCATAATATTTTACAAAGCATTTTTTACATTTATGTTCAGCATCAAATAAATATTGTCATTTGAATGCTTTTGTTTCAAATCTTGGCGAAATTTTAAAAGTAACCTTGAATGGTAAATCGAGATAAAATGTATCAAGTCTTTCAAAAGCATTACACTTTCTCCTATTTACCTCCACTTCAAAGTGATAGTTAACTTTAAACAAAAAATTGAGTCACAGTAAAAGTTTTAAAAAAGCTAACAGGATGGAAATTTGCATTTTTTTTGCACTGACACTTGTAAGGTAAAGTTCTGCAAAAAATTTCTTAGGGTCACATAAATTTTAAGTAGAGGGGAAGAATGGTTCTTTGGTTTGAATTTTTTAGCTGTACATTATTATGGAAAAAAAGAGGTAGAAACACTGAGATTAAAAGATTCCTTGTTGTACACTAGAGATGCATAAACAATGTTATGAACAATCTTTCCTAATTAACTGCATATCTAAGCAGTAAACATATTTTACAGATAGATTCATCGGAAACTTTACTGTGTAACATATTTCATTGTGCTGTTATGAGTTGGATGACTGGTTTATTAAGACTTTTGTGATATAAATGTAATGGCACTCTTTTGACTATGAAGAAGATTAAGTGACTGATCTTTATACCGGTGACTACTCATCCCTTAATGTAATACGTCAGGATCGAGTTATTTAGATACGTCTATTGGATATTTTAGGAAATAGATCAAAACAGCTTTCAACAAATAGTTTCATTCGGAAGTTTGTGGCGATTTATTGATTTAAAGTTGGCATTCATCATGGACTGATATCCGTTGGACGGACAGTGACAACCTGGAACTACTGGGCGTGACTATGGGTACTTAACCAAGACACTGGATGAAGTTCGCGGTATATTACGGATTTTAAGAAGTACGAAAATGTGAACTACTGGGTCCCGACTTAACAGTTTGATGGTAGTGTACCCTTCACGAAGCCTGGTGGTCCTGGGTTCGAGTCCTGATGGGGTCATTGGTGCTCACTTCTAATGAGTCTCACACTTAGACGAAACGATTGTCCTCTGCTTTTAAATTTGCAGTGGTTGTCCGACAGATTTCAGTACATGATGAAGATCAAATGGAAACGAGTTCCATTATTTAGCAAAAGTTAGAGTAGAAGTGAATATGAAGCAAACAACATAGTTTAAAAAAATATTTACCTATCATCTGACTTTCTTTTTAACATCATACGATTTAGACGTTGAATTAACAAGCTTTTCGACGTTTAATGAATTCTGTTGTATTATCTTCAGTTAAAAATGACGGTCACTCAGTGGGATAATAGGAAAATATTTAGCAATGCTCATGCAGGAAACAATGAGATGGTATTCTTCGTCTATAAATTATTTCCTATGTCTAAAGGTCATAATTATTCAGTAATTCAATAGGCCTAAAATTGCAGTGTGCACAGCCTGCATACATAACACAAATTCTTTCTAGCTGAATCACAGAGAACGAAAAAATAGAAGAATAGTGAGACTGCTTTACGAGTGCATACAGTTGATTTGGTCATGGTTAACATAATCATTCTTCAAGTAAAATTCATACTTCAGTTATGCAATTAAGCATACAAGGCGTACATTCATATGGCATAATATCTTTTATTACAGTGAAGCTATTCAGCATACGGTTCCAGATCTATGCCAACAGAAACATTCTAAAATAGGTCACTAATATTCTTCTCGTGGAACTTACACACATATGTTAAAACTTGTCATTATCATGCTTTCTGTGTGAAGGCAATACATGAAACTTTAACTCAAAGATTAACAAGTCTTAAGAAAAAAGAGTCAATAAGACGCTTTTATATATTCAGGTATCTTAACTTTTTGATGAGTAATGAGTTGAAATGAAGCAGATAACTGGTAATCTTTCTTTTTGATCATCCAACTGATGGTAACCGTTAGTGATGACAACCTTTTTTCACGTCTTTCAATATGTAGTTATTATTTAAGTACTTAGCAATTCATAAGTAACAGTTAACCTCTTAAGTTATACAGTTTCCAGCTAATATTACTGTAGCAAATATCTGTCATTTATTTTTACCATGACATCTTGATTTGCCAGTCTGATTTGTACTTTTTCTAGTTGACTATAGGGGTACATATCATCTAGTAATGATTGACAGTGGTCAGCAGAAGAGTCTAGGATTCGTGTTTCAACCTATTTGGAATTCGCTCGTGCTCCATTGCACCCATCTATTATTTCTTTAATTGATAATATGTTCTAAATCTGATATTCTATATCAAGCTCCTTGTTTCAAATGGGGAAAATGTACCGTGAAACCATCTTCACTCCGACATGTAAATCAGTTGGTTTCATGAATTGATAGGCATACTGTTTATCTTTTTTGTACTAAAGCTTCAAGCCTAAATACTTATGCATGTAGAATATCTAAGTAGAGTCATTTAAAATAATTTCAAATTCATATTATTCAGCATTCCTAAACAAAAATATCGGTGAGTATAATTTTCACCAGAAAGTTTCATCAATTGACGAACGATTTAGAATCGTTCCGTACCATACAGTTATTATCTAGTCTTCTTTAGCATTACATATCATCACTGACTTATAGAATTCAATAAAATGCTTTTATTTCATATTTCAGCCATCATTTAACATAAATTCTAGCGCAGCACATTAAGTAGTATGATTTATCAATAATGAACATTAGAACGATTAGTAATCATCGACTTGAATTACTGAAGAGTCTTAAAGATGGATTAAAAACTTCGGAATTTACCTTTACTACAAAATAACCGTAGACAAAGTATGCAAAAGTTGTTCTATAACGTATAGTGCAGATATATATATATATATATCAATCAAAGTACATAAAAAAGAGGGGTTAAGATAAACAATCAGAGGGAAAATAAAAAGGTGGTGAACGATAAGAAAGGAGCATTTTTGACTAGAAGACTTTTTATCTAGAATAACACATTTAAATATTCCTGTTTATAAACTTTAACTTCACTCATCGTTTCGTATAACTTTACAGTTGAGATATTTATAAATTTTTGAAAGCTTTCCAACACTGCTTTTTCTCGCCCATTCTACTCTATTCTTTCTGTCTTTCGTTGTCTATTCATCAAGTTTAGATTATCTCACTGCTTCTACTGATGGTAGGACTGAGAATGCTTATGTTGATGATATTTTCTGGTAAATAGGAAGGATTATTTCATGGCATATCATAAACATACAAACTTCTACTTTTCATTCCTTTCTCGCCCTTTGACAAATTTTATTGCGTATATAGATATATATGTTTGATGGTATTGAGTTTTTTTTTAACTGGACAGCTATGAAAGCATAGTTATACTTGCTGGTATATATGAACCTATGTGTGTATGTCAAAGTTCTTAAAAATGAGTGATTCAATTTTGATTTCCTTAGTCGTATAAAATTATTTAATCTTTTAATATGCTTTTTTACTCTTTCTTACTATTATTTTCCATTAATCTGTCGTCTTTTTACTTTTACCAGTATGATAACAGAGGTTTCAGGCTATTTTCTGCTTATAGAAGACTGAGATAAATTGGTATGCCATTTAATGTGAAAATCTGATAATGTACACCTTTTTATAAAGTCATTTCATTAATAATAAAGAATTACACTTATGGTTATGCGCGTGGTGTTTAAAAACTTTAATGTTATGTTCTCAAACTATAGTAGGTGTTTTCCTACCAAACTAAGGGTAGTTTCAGGTGTAGCTATACAAAGAAATACAGCGTCGAACTGAATAGATTTAGCATGGTGAGTGCACAGGCGTAAAACGGGAATGATCGGTTGATACGCTGTTAGCGTGGTTAATTCATCTGCTTTCTACAATACGTAGCACGAAGGAACATGTAAATATGAATTTATTGTTTGGTAATTGTAGTTGCCCGTCGCTATACAGAGAAAAACTGCACGACATCTGTTGGTAGGGAGGCTGCAATCTGAGTGCCTTGACACTGTTGGATATTCATGATATTGTATTCATCTTAGTGACTAGCACTAGTATCCAGGAAGACAATTTCGTACTATTTGAGACTAGCTCGTCAGCTGGTTGTATACACACCCCTTTGAGCAATGTTGTTCCCACTGAGACTCAAATCCAGCGAACATCACTTCAAACGTCAAAGCGTTATCCACTAGGCCATTGGATCTAGATAAACAATTCTTGTGCAACGAGTATCAGCTTTGTTCGATACTTCCTCGATCCCAGTAGCCTAATAGACTAAGTTTGGCGTTTGAAGCAATGATTACTGGGTTCAAGTCTCAGTTGGGACAACACCCGTCGCAAGGGTCTGTGTACATTCAATTGACGAGTGAGTCCCAAATAGGAAGAAATGCGTGTTCTGATGTCCACTACTAGATCTGAACTCACTAATTACTTCGGCAGTTTAATTGAAGCAATTATGGCGAGTCTACGGTGTTGGCCAACTTATGGTACTTAAACACTATTTAGACCATAGAATTTCCTTCTTTCACTACCAAAGAAATTCTCGAATAGGTCAATTGTGGGTGTTGAAGAAAACCGAGATCTTGCTATGCTGTATGTTTGAAATTGTATTTAATACTCTTTAGTGGGAATACTGTCCGAACTAAGAGGATTCTGTCAACAGAATTGTCGATGAAAGTGGTAGACTGCATACATTTCTTTGCATAATCCCCGTATGATGACTACTAATTCGCTTTTCATGTTTTGATCACGATAGCTACTAAATAATCATTATGCGCCCCATTTTATCGGTTGATCTTCGGTGGATTGAAGAAGAAAACGATACATAAAACAAATCAAAGTCGGGTATCATCGCAAAACGTGAATAAAAATAGTCAGAAATAGGTATAGACTAAGTTATGTGAGTACTTGAAGATTTAAATAAAGTATCTTACACAAAAACTAACAGTTATCTAACAATAATCACTTTATTTCTTTAACGGTCCTCAGCA